GGACCATTATTTTTAATATTCTCTGTACTTTCTGAAAATGTTAGTGTTTTCTTTTTCTGTTTTGATCACCGAATATATAAATATTTTGTGTAAGCCTTTAAACTTTTAGAATTTTGTTGACATAATTGGTGGAGAAAAATTACTATTTACTATACTAATCTAGCCTCCATTATTTCTCATTTTTCTTTATAACATTAAATGTTTTTGTAGGTATTATTGGTTCAATTTTTGTATTATTAAATTAAAATTACCCGAGTGTTATAAAATTAAAACAAGGCTATGTCATTAAAAAAGTCGAACTTACCTATAACATCAAAAATATTAAATATTGTTATTCAAATTTATATTTAAAACGATTTTATTTTACAAAAACATTATTTTTATTAAAAAAAAACGGTTGATGGATTCACTTCATTTAGTCTGAAACAAAATATATTTGGTTTCATTCAAATATTTCTTATGTATAAACGACCAATGATAAGACAGTCAGACAGGATGTGAAATTGACCATGATAACACATGTAATCTTGATAGTGAAATTAACTTATATTTCACTAGGTATTTCACATAATTTAGTGGAGAATGTTCTATATTATAAAGATATAGGTAGGTACTTTATTTATTGTTAACTCCTTTTTAGATCTAATTTTTTTCGTATGATAAAATATAAATTACGTTTTATTACATAAATATACACAAGTTTACTACAGTTTGTAAATTTTCAATTTAAACCGAATTACAAAACCAGTAATAACAAATGTAATAAATTACACAATCCATAATATTTAAATTTTGTTAAGACTCAATGAGCTGCAAGTATGCTTAGAAACGCCCTCAAAACTCGAAATCTATGTACATATATAGTATAATATACCTTCAGTTTGTGTATAATTTAGGTACACATATTATATAAATGTATGGTGTCTACAGATTTTATCTGATAGCGTTTATCTATGCACGAAGTCTGTAGATCGCGATTGAAGTACACACTTATAATAGTGTTATAGAATATAATTATTTTTACAAATGGAGGCGGTTCTGCGTGTCTACGCCACGGTGTTTGTTTTTTTATTCGTGTACTTAGGGCCAAACGAGATGGTAGTTAAGTACTGCAATCATCGGAAATATCGCAATAAAATTACAAAGGCATGTAGGAACTTGTGAATTTTATGTGTAACCTGCCTACGCGATATTGTTGTATACAACGCTATGTACAATGTGTATATTTCTCAGTGTTATATTCAATTTAGTATATTGTTTTCGGCTATACAATAATTAATATATAAAACATATACGCACTTATGCAGTATCTATATGTATTATTATAATATTTCTATATAAAGTCTGTCTGTTGTGAAACGGAAATTATTGTTTTATCCACTTTCTACGTAGGTGCGTATTATTTTATGAACGCATTGTAATATATTACTATTATGTTAATAGATGCGTATTAAACATGTATACGTAGTATATAATGCTTTTCTTCTAAATTTTAGCCCCCTTCATATATGTATATATAAATATGGGTTATGGGTATACATATATAGCAAGGCGTGTGTGTAATGCCGTAATGCGTTTGTTTTCGTGCAGATGCATTTATGAACACATACATTCACGCGATAATATCATATCCGGTCTCTATTATGTACGTACTTCCCCCTATCCGCATGGTTAACTTTGTTAAAGTTATCTTATAAAAAATATACAGGCATATATTTTGTTTTAAGTGTCGATTTTTATGGTAGATGTACTAGACATTGATCCAGAGAAAAGATCTGAGAGCCTTAACAATTTTTTTTGCGACACAAACACAATTACAGTATGCTAATTCTTAATTTAAAATATTTTAAATTATTCCATATAGGGTAAGTAGTATTATCAGGATCTATAAAATTATATTTAAAAATAAAAATACATGGGAAAATAATATGTCAAAAATAACATCATGTTTTATTTCATCGGTGTAGGTGAAACATCTATTGGTTGTTTAATAATTT